GCCTTAGCACTGCTCTTCAATGCAATTAGCACCGCTCACATTTCAATAATTTAAGAAATTAAGAACAGTCCAGCCCCAAATATTTTTAAAACAAAGAACTTCAACCTACTGGTTCTTCTTATAAAGAAGAGTGTATGCAAAGAGTATACATTCAGTGAAGGGACTGTCAGTTGCTTTAGTTGATGCACAGGATACATAGTACAACAAAATAACTTTCACTAGATATATTGACACTTTTCTCCATGAACTGATTAACAATCTACGACAAACGAACAAGTAGAGTTGACTTTAACAATGAAAAAGGTCCTCATTAGTGTCATAACACCAAAAAACATTTTAACTGAATCTATGCTTCGACGCAAAGTTGGCAACGAATCAAAGTAAAAATACAGGCTCGATTAAGGAGGCTATTGGATTCAGAAATCGACAAAAATAGCAGCATTGGATAATCATTATACTATTGGGCGGCAACATAATAACCTTTGATTTGTCTGTTCATTATCGATCTTGCTTAAAAGCTTTTGCGCAACCGGCATGCTTTGCAACTGTGATTTTAAATCCGGCCTAATATCGTATTGAATGAAAATAAAAACACACAGTCAACGTCTCGTCGCATAAAAAGACAGCTACCGCTAGGCATGCCGGTTGGGCAAGAGGCTTCAAAAAATCCTTCGAAGACAGTTATCAAGGCCCTTAGTAGAGTTAGATGCCCCTGTCGCCGGCGGTACCACTGACCTATAAAAAAGACTGGATCGAGCTTCATATTGTCTTGAAACACCAAAGTTTGAGGCCTGTTCAATTTCAAAAGGAAGAGGGCCCCAAACAATAGCGGGAAGCCATTCCTCAAAAGCAATACTTGAACGATATGAATAAGTGAGAGCTGTAATGCTGTGTGTATGAGTCCTGAGAAAAAACAAGGCCAGAGCAGCTGAAAACATTGCTATGACTGACACTAAAGGCCGTCTCCTAGCATGGGCTGTTCTGGGGCCCTCTTCTCGGATAGCGACACTCGGGTCACATTAGAAGCTCGATCCAGTCTTTTTTATAGATCAGTGGGCGGTACCTCTTTAGACGCCCACATAATGAGTACGGATACATTTTAACACGTTTTTGTTTCAACCCCGGCTAGTGGAAAGGCAGCCTCCGTCTAGCATACGCTACAAAATTACCCGGGCGTGTGCACGAGCAGTGATATGCACCAAAATGTTCAATCCCAGGGTTTGAAACATTTCTGAAAAGAAAAGCCGCGTATCGACTCTAATCAACATTAATATCAAATAAATTTAAACGTTCACAATAAAAGTTATACATATCTGACTAAAATTTAAACTACGATGGACTAAAATCACATTTCTAAAATGAGGTACAAATCCATTGAAAAAACGACAACCGAATCTTAAGACTGTGTCTAGGAACACATTTCGTTGGCCAATGCATTAGATTTAAAGCAAAAGATATCGTTTTGGAACACTAGCAATTTCAGTACTAAACTCGACATAAAACTACCTTTTCAAGCTATCCTTT